AATCATAACAAGTGAATGTTTGCAATGAACAAGTTAGTGTTAGAATTTTTGCATAACGCTTTTGAACCATATATTTCTAACGAACTTGCTCATTTTGGTAGTGCTTATACAATATGAAAACTTTTTGAAGCACATCAAGGGAACTTAGAGGCGATCCGATGATCTTTGGTTGTTCCCTCTTCAAGTTCAAATGGAGCCTCTTCATGCACACAATCACTAGGCGATAGCCCTAGTGAGGTATGCGAGTCCGATAATGAAAATGATCTATCTATTAATGAACTCGCATGTTCTTACAATAGATTAATGAAAGCCTACAATAAGTTGCACCATAATTATGTAAATATGAAAAGCAAGCATGTAGAGCTAAAATCCGATCATGAGACACTAGCCTCTAGGTTTGATATCATTGCAAATAAAAATATTAATCTTAAAAAATGTAATAAAAAATTAAAAGTGGATCTAGCTAGGTTATCTCATGAGAAAGATAATACCATGTTAGAAGTAGAGACTATTAAGAATGAATTTATATCATTTAAAAATGATTATGTATGTCCTACTTCTTTTAACAATGCACATACTTCAAATGATGAGTTGAATCAAATAAAGAAATGCATATCATCCTTAGATTCAACACTAAATATATGCATTGCCAACAATGAAAAGCTTATGGACATGTGTGCAAAGTCCCACAAAATTGTTTCCAAGAAACCTTTTTGTAGGGGTATAAAATTGCCTATAGGTCCCTTAACACAGATCGGCACGGTGATTCGACAAATCAACGAACCATCTGGTGACGTATCTAAACACGATCGTTAGTCCACAACACCGAAGCCAAGTGACACGCGACGAAGCGGATTAACGAGGCGACGAGGCTAACGAACCGCACGCAAACAATGGAATACATCAACTCGCATGCGGAATCAAGCTAACGGTTCGGTGAGTCAACGAGTCATCCAACCATAGAACGGATTCAAACTCAAACACCGAAGTGGGTTTACTGCCAAATCAGGATTCAGATCAACAAATCAGAGTCCAAATCAATAGCGAAACCAAAAAAACGTCGAAAACCAACGGTCAGACAATAAATGCAGCACCGGAACCCTTACAGATATTCGACAAAGCACCGAATAGCCTGAATGATTGAAGGAATCAAGAACAGAAGCCATTCCAAAGTCCTGTTACACCGACTGAAGGTTGGGACAATCATATTCAAAGTATTCCAGACTCTTCTATAAAAGAACGAGGCTAAAATACTTTGGAGGGGGTATCTGTAGGCGTATAAAATTGCCTATAGGTCCCTTAACACAGCTCGGCACGATGATTCGACAAATCAACGAACCATCGGGTGACGTATCTAAACACGATCGTTAGTCCACAACACCGAAGCCAAGTGACACGCGACGAAGCAAATTAACGAGGCGACGAGGCTAACGAACCGCACGCAAACAATGGAATACATCCACTCGCATGCGGAATCAAGCTAACGGTTCGGTGAGTCAACGAGTCATCCAACCATAGAACGGATTCAAACTCAAACACCGAAGTGGGTTTACTGCCAAATCAGGATTCAGATCAACAAATCAAAGTCCAAATCAACAGCGAAACCGAAAAACGTCGAAAACCAACATTTGGAGGACTCGGCCAAAACCGAGCCACCTTTTGGTGGCAAGGCCGAGCCACCAAGGTGGCCGGCCACCTGTGCCAAGGCACATATCTGAGTGCCTATAAATAGGCTAGGGGGGCTCATTGTTGAGAGGTTAGAACTTTTGGAGCCGAAACTCTGCCGGATTGAGAATTGGACTTGAACTTTCGGAGCTTTGAGGACTCGACTTCCAGATCTGGTTCTTAGCGATCGTCCACGCCAAATAAGGCAGGAGTTCGAGAGAGATCAGATCTGAGATCTGCACGGTTTCCCTTCAGATCAAAGCTTGGCCTTTGATCCCGAGAACTAAAGGCTATTATTTCCTTGGTGAAATAGTACCCCGGGCTGTTATTTCCTTCGTAAAATATCACCCGTCAAATCGTGTAGATCCGACCGGATCAAGATCGCGCGGTGGTCCACGGATTAATCCCGACGCAGGCGAAGAACCCACAAAAGTGAGAGACCGCAAAACAGGATCTCATGATTCGTTCGACATAAAAGGAAAGTTGTAATTTTCATTTTTCTTTTGATTTTGTTGTAACCGGATCTTATAAAAAGACCGGATCTTTTGTAATCGATAAACAATTACTTAAGAGTACAATGGAATTAATGAAAACAACAATTTTTCCCGCGAACACTTTTCACTATGCACTCATGTATAACAAAGTTTACAAGTATACCATTTACGGCCGAAAAGGCCATATTGCTAAATTTTGTTATGATACACAAAAATTAAACAAGTCAAAAATTATTGATAATTGTGCATCCCATCAAGCTTCATCTTCTCATACACATGTACATGCATATATTGCACATCATAAACATGCTCATGTGTACAAATGTGATTTTTATAGTCGCTTTGGTCATTTGGCCAAGTATTGTTTTGATTTAAACAGAAATTTACTTTTGCCAAATATTTCTAGAGAACCACATGTGTTTAAGTGCAATGCTTGTGGTAGATTTGGATATCTTGTAAAATTTTGTTATGATTTGCAAAAAGCTTCTAAGTTGCAAAATGCTCCAAGGAGACTCTTGTTTAAAAATGTTTTACATTTGTAAAAAGCTTTAAATAATTCATATTTGTTTGCAAATGTTTCACGTGCACATCCACATGGTCAACATAAACAATGGCATCCTCTTCATTGCACTTATTACAATCGAATGTGTCATTTGTATAATTATTGCTATGATCGGACCCGTGCACAAAATACGCCCAAAAGGGATCATAACCCTAGGGCATTGAGCTTTAACGATAGGGGTCATGTCTCTAGACTCTTCGGTACTAAGAGTAATTGGGTACCAAAACATACTTAATCTTTAAGAATGAATTCTTTAGCTTTTCATGTTCTTAAAGATGATTTCTATTTAAGTTTTATAAACTAAATTGAGAACAATTTTATACTTGTTATTTGATTTGAAAAGTTATCATTCATATTTTTTCATGATTCTCTTTCATAGATTTTTTATGTTTTCATCCTTTATGAATTGATACAACTTTTATCAAGATGATTTTTCTATGCTAAAACATCATTTTCGTTAGTATACCTTGTTTTCAATTTTTAAGTTTGAACAATGTGTTTGTATTTATGGGATTATTATAAAACACTCTTATGATGATATCTATATGTTTGAGCTTCCGGATCATCTATTTGTTGTTTATAATATATTCCTTATATGGTTTGATCAAGTTTTACAAAGAAGATTTCTTCTATTGATCAAATATTTTTTAGATATATACTTTGCTTGACATTATCTTTGGCATGGTTGTACATATAATAAAGATGTTTCTCATATTCAAATTGATACAAAATATCTCTTAATGGACATCTTTAACCTTTTTGCTAAGAGATTGTTTACAAGAAATGATTGAGTACTTTTGTCTTTTGAACTCAAATATTCTCTTAATCATTTCTTCATTAAAACAATGTTTTATGTTTTCATGAACTTTCATTTGGACTCTCTTTTGGTATCATTTCTTAAATTGCCTTTCTTGAATTTTCATGAATAATATTTTGGTTTTCATAAGGTTTTGTTTTCATGTATTGAGACATCATTCTCATAATAATATATTTATATATGTTCTCAATCAATCATAATTTATGGTTTGATAACTTATGAATTTTCTTTTGGATTTATTGACAAATCATTTGATTATTGATCTTTGATTTTTAACCTTTGTTTTTTTATTTTTGAGATTTTTTTGTTGTTTTGTTTGTTTTTGATATATTTCCTATGGATATATATCTATGTTTTAGACTCTTGTGACGGTTTTCTTAATAATACATATATGTGGCCACTTGGTCTTCTTTAATGTGAGTTGTGTTTAGGATATTCTATATTCATGCTTACTCACGTTCATTTGCCATACTTATCATTGCATATTTTATATATGGCTTTTTGATATGGAGAGCCTTCCCCATATCTTTGTTTATACTCACTTGTGCTTTTTGTTAGGTGGAGCTTTTGCTCTCTTCTTTATCATATCGTTATTCCCATTTTTTATGTTTCCAAAGAGGGAGAAAAATGTGAGGTATATAGTATTTGTTTTGATTGGTATATATTATTTGTTTTGATTGTTTTATTGATTTTATTATGCATATTGGTAAATTGTTTTTCATCATAAAAAAGGAGGAGATTGTTGGCTTTCATATTTTGATGATGATTTAACAAACAATTTATAACTAATATTGTTTTTAGTATTTTGTTTTGTGTTGTTTAGTATACATAGGAAAATGAGCTACATGGATATTGAAGTCTATGCAAATCAAGTCAATCAATGAAGCTCAAGCTTTTGAAGATTCATTCTTGGTATACTTAGTATATGTTTATATAATGTGTGCAAATTCTACAAGCTCAAATTTATACACACATTCATTTGTGAATTTTCTCAAATATAAGTGTCTTTATGCAAAATATATTTTAATATGCTTTGGACTTCACAAACATTTCTCAAACTACAACAAGCAACATAATACACTTGAAAAAGACCAAACTACAGAATTTAGTTTCATTTTTTATATTCTTGAAATTAATCTTTATTCACAAACAGGAGGAAATATAAAATTAAATTATTTTCCATTTATTTTTTGATACTTCGATGAACAATATTGTAGTTTTTAAAATCTATCAGAAGGTTTTCTCTGTCACTTAATAATTCTTATGAGGCTAAAAACCCAGCTCCAAAGTCTCTTCCATTAGGTCTCACGTTATAGCTTCCATTATGTAAACTTTTTTTTTTTGGTAAATGAATGATTTTATTCACAAACCAAAATATAGAAGTTAAGTACATCAACAATCTCAGATTCTTTGAAATCTGAGAACTAAAACTCATCAAACAAAGAAAATCTCAACCTTCAGTTTACAGGGAAAGAAACCAAACCCAGTCTTCATTAGGCAACGAAGGTTTGTTGAGGATAGCAGTATATAAATCAACTTTAATGTCCCTGATGATTTGGCTAGAGCATCTACTTTTCAATTTGAAGATCCTTTCATTACGCTCTTTCCAAATGTAGTAAACGACTGCAGCAATAGCCATTCTCTTCACTTTCAGTTTAGAACCCTTCACCTTTAGGCTATTACAATACCAATCAAGAAGTAATCTCCAATCGCATGTCCTCCAACTAAACTTGAGCCATTCCATAACCCCATTCCAAACAGTCATAGAAAAACTGCAGTCAAAATATAAGTGTTTGTGACTTTCCGATCCCCCTTCACACAGAGAGCAATGATTTGATTGAATTACCCCTCTTTTAAGCAGTCTATCCTTTGTGAGAAGCCTATTTTGAATAGCTAACCACAAGATAAAAGAATGTTTGGGTAGGTTTGAACTCTCCCAAACTGTATCAGCCCAAGGTACAGATACGTTAACATTAATAGGAGAAAGGATCTTGTATAGCTCAGATAGCTGAATCTTGGATTGATTATAACAAGACCTGATGCTCTGAATTAGCATATCAGTCCCTCCCACAAGATTCACAGCTTTATCCCTTGCTTTCAGCAACTGTTTCCATAACCAAGAGTCACCAGATTTCACCCTCACTTGCCAAATGTTAGATTCTTTTAAATAGGTTCCATGAACCCATTTAATCCACAGACACTCTTTATTTGAATGCACATACCATAATGTTCTAACTGCAGTGGCTAGATTCCAAGTAGTGGCAGAATAAATACCCAGACCCCCTTGATTCTTCCCTGTGCATACTTTATCCCAAGATACAAGTGGAGCCTTGAGACTATGATCAGATCTTCCCCACAAGAAATCTCTGCAAAGATCATCAATTTTTCCATTATGTAAACTTTCTCTGTAAGTTACTTATATTTTTACGTATATCTTTCATATTAGTTAGTCACATTGAATTTTTTTTCAAATTAAAATGTGCATCGCCCACCTTGAACATTTTGTCATTCCCATACCAACTTCAACAAGCCTCTCCAGAAAAATGTAACAAAATTAAAAGGTGTCATAAGTTATATATAGTATGAGAAAAATTAAAATCCATATGTCAATAAAAATTATGGTCTTAATTCTTTTCGTGATGCATCCCCTTGCATAATGCCGGTGAACCGTGACACCTTTATAAAGTACTAGTTTTTATGCACGTGCAATGCACGTGGTTAAATATTAAAAAATATTTTTTGTATATTTATTTCATTACTTTAAATAAGTGAGATTTATCTTGAGTTCAAATATGTATAATTGAATTATAAGATTTATTAGTATTTTATTTAAATATTAATAAAAATAAATGTAATGGATTTTAAGCTAAACTTTTTGATGAATATATGTAACTGGGATATTGTAATCGTTATTATGAATTGTAGTTATAGTAATGAAGAAAATATTTCTAAAATTTAAGTTTATTCAAATATTTTTTTTAATAAAAAAGCTAAGATAATTGTTTGATTTACAGCAAATATGTAAATTATTTTTCTTCTAAGAATTTTAAATTGATCACCACCACCAACACCTAACGGGTCCCTTATTCAACATGGCAATATTCTCAACAAGTAACAATTAGTAAGCCAATGATTTTTTTTGAAAACATTGAATATTGAAGTTTGTGACAACCCCAAGCAAAATCATCACAACAGTAATTCTTTGCCAATTGGTTAAAGAGGTCACCTTTATATCATAAATGTTAGATCACATGTTGTGCTGGTTATCAGGAAGAGTATTTTACGTCTAGCTGACAATATATCCATTCACAGGATCATTAAAAGCAGATTTTTATCAATTGCCTCTCACGAAATGCATGATCATATCTATAGACAATAATAAAATATAGTAAAATGGTTAAATATCAAAGAGTAATTTTATGTGATCTAAGCAATCACATAAGCATACAAAACTACTAATAACTTTGCATGAAAATGCCTTAAAAAATTCCTAATTGTAATTAAAAATTAAGTTGTTATATAAAATAATTTAAAAATATTGTTCTTGAAAATTTCTAATTGAACCATGATCAATCTTTCTCCACCTTTATCTTTTTTCTGGGCAACTCTAGAGTAGCATCTTCATCATTTACGTCGATTGTAATAGTAGGCTGGAGTTGAATTTCTTGTGCTATTATATTGCCTTCGCCTCGTTCATCTTTTGTCTTTTCATCTAACTTCACCAGGAATTTGAATGTTTTTCCGATGTTCAAAACAAATTTTTGGAAATATGGACTCTGATTATTTTTCTGTTGCAATGAGAACAAATGTTATATTAATACTTATGAATTTGTTTATTTCCTAATTTACTACTTGAATAGAGTTAGGAATTACCTCTTTCTTTTATGTAATGAATTTTTCTGCTTTGCATCCAATAAGAGTTTCTGCTGCGTCAAAGAGTGTTACTCTTACATTATCCGTACCATTTTCCACGAGAATCTTAACTAAGTACCTGTATTTTTCATTGTTAATTTCTAAAGATAGTTATTATTGTATTTTAATATGTTAATGTCATAAAAAAGGATATATTACTTAACCTTGGTAGTGGGTCATCAATGATTCTGTGACATTTGTCATTCAGACACTCTTTACAAACATGTTTATCAACCTTCCTACCACAGCCTTTGCAAGCATAGAACCATGGCTCGAGCCTATTTAAAATAGTAGTTATCTTTGCCTTAAATGTGCAATATCGTGCCTGTATATTAACAAAATTTAGTTAGATTTAAATTTGTAAATAAGAATATGCATATAATATTGTACCTGTATTGAATTCTGTGATGTATGCATAATATCACTAATATGAATTTCCTTAGCATTTTTAAAAAGCGTCGATGGAGATCTGTTTGCTTTTGGAGCTTCTTCTAATTGGAACCTGCATATTAGATTAAAATATAATACTATTTGATTATTGTTTTATATGAAAGTATGTTTGTTCTGCTTACCATTCTCTTAATTCGCTAGCTAGTTTTATTTTTGGGTTGATACATATTGTTAAAATAATTTGCGACGATATGCTTGTATCCCCTACAAAAATGAGAAAATTATAGGATTAAATTTATGTTTAGCTATCTTTAATAAGAGTTTCATTAATAATTTATGTACCTTGATATATAGAGATTTTAAAATCTGATAATGTTATTACAGGCTTATATTTGATTTCTGCTTCAAGAATTGATCCTTCATTTGTAGCCAAATCTCCAAATAAAGTTGCACGCATTGGCATTCCACTGCATATGAAAAAAGAAAGAACGATAATATTTTTTCCTTATGATATTGAAAATATGTAACATGAATATACCTTATATCCATAAGCGTGATTTCCCTCCTAGTATCTGGTTTGTTGTGTCTTGTAATATAGTTGATCATTGGCTTCACATTAGTTGTTATTACAAGAATATCTGCAAGTGATTTGATAAAAAAGATTATGATTTTGTAGATTAATGTTTTATTTTGTATTAAAGATTAAAGTAAGAAATTTATAAGTACTTACTAATTTTTGTTGCATCTTTTATGGAAAATGCTTCTTCAAATGGGACAAAGTTATTAAATATGTTATCCAAGTGGAATCCTGTTGGTGCTTCTTTGATCGATACGTCTTTTGTTAATACTAATTCAAGTGACTTGTGGATACTTGGAAAAGTTGGGTTTATTCCTTTCACTTATCCATTTGAAATGTAAATAATTTGATTTTTTTGAAGCATATCTATAAACTTTTCAATAGTCTCTCCGTACATTACTCCTTGTACTTTGTTACCCTGCAAATATTATTAAGACAAGAGATCAATGCATGGAAAATAAAATTAATTAATAGTAAGCTATATATTATATTTTACAATTATTTAGTTACTAATTCAAAGAAGATAGGATAGTCAGAATAGATTATGATAACAATGTAATATTTAAAAAAGTTAAGGATAATATTGACCATGGAAATTTTTTCTCGAACTCGTACTTTTAAAGGGAGTATGAATATAAATCGGTTTAGCAATATTCATATGATTAAACATGATATTGTGCAAGAAATATAATACAAAGAATAAATTTATTTTACCCGAGCGTCAACGGGAGTTAGCTTTAGTAATTTCCCTGATCCTTTTGTATTTTTGTAAGTGGCCTCTGCACTTCGAAGTATGATAACATGAATGATCCATTCTTTCTAAAACTTCTTGAGCTAACTTATTTGGATGTGCTGAGTTTGCCCTTCAGTACTGTTAGTCATATTTTCTATTAATTTGATTAAAATATACATGTTAGTTTTGATCAATATTATAGAATATACCATAGCTTAGAAAATTAATTTATTAATTATTGTTCCTCATAAGGTTTTGAATATTAATAACTCATAATATAGTCTGAGTGGGGGAAAAAAAATAAGTGAATGCTAAGGGGAAAAAAGTTATAAAATATTGAAAAATATAAATTATAGGAATCAACAATAATGAACGCACGTAATTATTCTAAGAAATTAATTACCTTCAGAATAGCTATTGTGACTTTGAAGTTTAATACACGTCTGTTGGTTGTAAGACTTCCTTGTATACCAGATTTTTTGTGTATCTTTCATCTTTTTTACTTTGATTCGATGAATTTCATAGACATGTAATCAGAAAATCTCAAGCTCGTAATAGGTATAAGTAGCTTACCGCTAGAAAGAAATTTGGAACTATTAAAGCTCAAAATATCCAATTATAAAGAGAGATATTTATAGTATCATTGTTTGTTGCATGGCTATTAATTGTTTTGAGGAGATAAAAATAAGTAGGACTAAAGAAAAAATTGATGCTACTATTTTAATAGCATTTATATTGGATGATTATGATTAAATAGGTCGTCTACTGTCATCTGTATATAGGTAGCATTGGTTGATTGAAACTTAATGTTGTATATCAAATAAAATTCTTTTATAAAATTATTCATTATTTACTATTGTTAAGGATGCAAACAATCTATTATCACCCAGTTGATACATAAATATAATTTCATTATTCAATTCTTTTGAATTTTTAAATTATATCCATATGTTTGATACACGGTTTAAATTAAATAAATCTTAATGAAATGAATCAATAATAAAGTAAAAAAATTTAAAAAATTACCATGTGCATTGCAATAGGTTAACTCTCCTTAGCACCTTACAATAGGTTAAGATACTGAATTGTCACTAAACTTCTCTGAGTATATTATTTTAGAGAATGCTAATTAATCATGTTAATTGAAGAAAAAAATCTTGATTAAATTAACTAAACTGAGATCAGTATAAACTCTGCTCTAAATAATCTCTGTAGGAGCATAGAAAACAGCACGCAGCGCCGTTTCCTCGCTTACCTAACCTGCGGAACTGGCAACCCCATCGACGACTGCTGGCGCTGCGACCCCCACTGGCACCGTAAACGCAAGCGCCTCGCAGACTGCGGCATTGGCTTCGACCACAATGCCCTAGGCGGACACAACGGCTGCTGATGACGGATGGAGACGGGGTTTCTATCTTTGGGGGGAGTCATGTTTGGGTTGATCACTGCTCGCTGTCGAACTGTGCTGATGGGCTCATTGATGCTATTGTGGGGTCTACTGCCATTACCATATCTAACAATTACTTCACTCATCACAATGAGGTAGATTTTAGATTGCTCTAGTTAGTGCTTATAATGTGTATCTATTTTGGGAGAATTAGTGTTGAGACCAACAAATTTGATTCTGGATTGACGCAGGTGATGCTTCTGGGTCACAGTGATTCTTATGAGAGGGACAAGATTATGCAGGTCACGATTGCCTTCAATCATTTTGGGGAAGGACTCATCCAAAGGATGCCAAGGTATAAGCTGAAGCTATGAACTTTTATTTAGAACTGGATTCATTCCACATATCTTTCTGCCTGTTTTGTGAGAATGCGTTCCATAAATGTTTATGGATCCTCCTTTTATTGCTTGCCTTGGTTGTTCTTTATGGCAACATATATGGGCAGCAGTC